ATCTCAGTCATCCATGAGAATCCGTGGGAGGCTCACCTGGATCACGTCAATATCCTTCTATATTTGGGTAGCTGAAGTAGGAAGGATTATATTGAGGCAATTATGTATCAATTAGAAGTTATTTATTTCTTTATTAAGACATCTTGTATAGATCTATAAATAGGGATAATTTTGTATAATAAGTAGAAGGTATTTTTACCCTTCTCAAATTCTATGAATTCTAACAATGATTAGTAGATGGCAAGAAGATCTGTTTGACCACTATCTATTGTAGGGGTGCCTATAGAGAGATTTGACATGTTAGAGTGATTGCTTATTAGATTTTTAGCAATGACAATGAAGAGTGGAGTGTCTACTCGAATGGCCATTGTGGAGGCTCTAGAGAGTAGTAGCAATGGGCTAGCTTTTGAGAGGGTTTGAAAGCAATGTTTTGGCCGTGATCTACATGGAGAATTTTGGCTGCAAACAAGGTTTCCAAAAGTTGTTTATATCTACTCATTATAGGGCATTAGTTGTTAGATGCTCATGTTTTGCCATTAATCCTTAGCTTGGCATCACTTCCCATGATGTAGAACGGAAACACGCTTTGCTAGGGACAAAATCGCTCTGATACCAACTGATGTAGAACGGGTAGGAGGATTATTCAGGGGATGACTGATGGACGGCAGTTTTGATCTTCCAAGCAACAGTTGTGAGCCGTGCAATGGCTGGTTTTGCATGGGCAATGGCTGAAATTTATGGCTGTAGTTTTAGAAAGAAGAGGACTCAATGTTGGGTGGAATTTGGAGAGGATTTAGTGGAAGGGAATTAGTGAGAGGAGCTTTGGAATATTCGGCAAGCAGCAAGTTGAATTTCCAAACTTTTCCCAAAGAGAAACAATGGAATCTGAGTAGACTTTAGGAAAAGAAAAATCCCGTAAGGGGAGCTGACGGGATGTAGAGGGAATTATGGAGTTATTTCCTAATTTCACTCTCTGTTTTGGAAAGAATTAAAGGCCTTAGGTTTTGAAAATTCGGCTGGCAAGAGAGAAAATCGTGACTTAATTCCAAAGAAAAGGAAAGCTGGGTTTGGAAAGGAATTAACCGTAGTGGGATCTTGAGGTTTCGGCCAAAGGAGAATCTCAGGATTTGGAATTATTTCCAAAGATGTGGCTTGGCTGTTAGAAAATATATCCTATTCTAAATCCCAAATGGGGAGAAAGGGATTAGAAAATAAATCCTAGGGATTTATTAAAGAGGGAGGCCGGTGGTTAATGATAGAGGAGGAGATTGGGGAGGTGATTTTGGGTGCTTAATTTAAGGCTTTAAAATTTAGGAAAGTGTTTAAATATATCCTATTTGAATTTGAAATTCAAATAAAATTCATTTAGTA